AACGCTTGAATTTACACTTTCAGCAGGGGATCCCGATTAGTTCCACGTGCCAACTTAACACCCAGCCGGTGTTAACGTCAGCCCCTCTGCCCACGGGCAGGGGGGCAGGGAAGAAGAAAGACTGTCCATCTCCATCAGCACAGGCACAGGAGATGCGTCTGCAGCCCTGCGTGCACAGCACTACGTGGGAAGGTTATGCCGGCACGCAAGGCGCTGACTCCCATCTGTCTCCCTATTGGAAGTGCAAGGTGACTCAGGCCTTCCAAGGTATAAAATCCCAGGCCTTAGCAATGACTCATTTTCCACACTGCTTATCCTGCACACCAAGCACACTGATTGCTTTTTTCTTGGTGGGGGGAACCATGGATCTGAGTTCCCTTCAGCAATCGGTACCTGGCTCTACTGCCTTCCCGTGCTGCCCCAGGGAGAGCTGTCCCCAGCTGCCCAAACTGCAGGGACAAAGCACGACGGCGAGCCAGGCACCAAACCACCATCTCCGTCACCAATCCGGGAACTGCCGCTTGCAGTTGTGTCACAGTTCCATCTAAATTACAGTCTGCTACACACATCCCAGGTGTTGCAGAAGAAAGGCCGACACGTATGAGTAAATCACAGGAAACTGTAAGCTGCTACTGGGATGTAACAATTACAATAATCAGAGATATTTCTCACTTAGAGAGGAACCACTGGTGTTCGGTAAGTTTTCTAAAATCCCACCTAAATTACCACAAGTAGTTATTGCCACCGATGTCAAAGAAAGATGAGTTCAAAACAGGACGGATGCACAGAAAGGCCAGTAAAACGAGCAGGGGACAGAAAAGCCATCTTACAAGAGGATCTGGTTTTGTCAACGGCCACACTATAAATGCACGAACAGGATGACACCATCCCAGGGAACTAAGTAAACTACAATGTGAAGTTGTCACAAAGACAGAAAGAATAGTAGTTGAAGTATTTTAACTGTTGGAACAGGAACTTGCCATCACAATTAAGGACATCTATCAAAACAGAGGTTCTTTCCATTAAGAATAATTTGAAGGTGGGTATTTGCTTTCCTGTCTCTCAAGCTTGGGTCTAATGGATCTTTAGACAGCCTGACAGCTACTGCAAGCTGTCAGTGCTACGGGCCTCTGTCTGTCCAGATGTTGGAAGTGGATGATCTCTCTCAAGCTTTAAGGAAGTCAGTTACACAAAACCTCTGATGTTACCGATACCTTATTTATAGGGATAATGTGACTATATTATTGCAAGTATAGCCTGTCTGTATCCCCAAATGTATGCTACCATATCCTATCCTTTAAAAAACCAACCCCAGACACTTACTGTAGGCACAGATTACACTGGCAAAATCCTGCAGTAAATCACGCCGTTCCCACAAGTGTGAAGTACATTCTAGACAATGTGAAGTTCAAACAGTTGACTGTGGGACAACGACATACGTTTCACCAAAATAGTTCTCCAAGTTCTCTAGAACAGGAGAGCACTGCTCTTTTCTACTGAACTTGCAGGTAACATTATTCTCGAATAACCAACTCATAGTTCCCCTTCCAGTACCACATCTAGCTCTATACACCCAGTTCATCTTTCCCTTCAGGTTCCCTATGACCTTTCTATTTATACCCTTAAAAAGTAAACAGAAAATAAGAACAGAAAGATAAAGCACCTCAGTCTTTAAGTGAGATGAACGGAACTAGCCTTCCACTGATTGTCAGCTTCTTCCTTTCCAGCATTCTTCCAAGAAGGCAGCTCTATTTTATCACTGTACTGCGTAGAACAAGGTGAGATGAACGGAACTAGCCTTCCACTGATTGTCAGCTTCTTCCTTTCCAGCATTCTTCCAAGGCAGCTCTGTTTTATCACTGTACTGCATAGAACAAGCATGAGGACAGATGATAACCCTACTGAGTACTAACTACTAAGATTTATTTTCCTATTCTACACCCCTCCTGCTGTGGTAGCCCTTAGCTATGGAGGTTTCAAACTAAAGACAGCACTGTCTAAAAGAAAACACCATATAATCAGAGGCGATTATCTCATTTAAGTGTTGACATAAAATGACAACTCTGATTAGAAAAATAACAAATATTTGTTCAATTTCCTGTAGAACTCCACTTCAGAGACACAGAAGCATTTCGCGTTTTCTTCCAGCCTCACTACTCATGAAGCGATCACACCTTCAAACACTCCTGGGAAAGGACATCTTTCTAAGTTTCGAAATAACTACTCTCTCCCAAAACATTTTAACTGAAGATCTTCAAAGGAAAAGGAGGCTTGTACGAGAAGCCCATCACCCCCTGTCACGTTTCCACCCCTAAATTAAAGGCCATACATATTCAACAACTAGGCTGAGGAACGCCATTAATTCCAAAAGACATCAGTTGCAGTGTATCACATTAAGCTGACAGAAAGCCAACAGTCACTCTTCCCTGACATCTGTCCTCTCTAGGTGCAGGCTGCTTCAAACCGCTGCACAGCCTAATTACAGAGAGGCACTGCCCTGGGCGGGCTCCTCACCAGTTACTGGAAGTCACCCAAGCTGCCAGGCTGGCTCGGGAGCCGCGTACCCACCGCAGGAACCGGGAGCAGGTAGGCACAGAAAAGCAGGGGGGTTTGCAGTTTCTGGCTCAAGCAGCACCAAGCTTTCTTTGTCTAAGCTCACCACCATGCAGCACCCCTACTGCCATAACCACGGCTACTTACGGCAATCAGGCTTTACACTAAGCCCAACATCATCTCCACTCCAAGTTCTGTTGTGTCTAGAGCGTTAGCTACTTCAGAGTGAAAGGAAAACCATGGATCAGTATGGATAGGCTGATTTCAACCTAAAGTAACATGGTGGTGTTAAAAAGAAAGTCTGTTTTGAGACCAGTTAAGTCTGAAGTGATAAGCATATTCATAATAAAACTTCAGAAAGACTTCTTAAGATTGGTCAACTATAAATCAAACTAAACGCCTTTCATAAACAGTTCTTTTGAACATAAACAGTCTAAAGAACCCTCCTCCCATACTTCTTGCTCCCCCATCTCATCTGTGAACACCTGAGCAAAACTTTGACTATGTATGCTTTAGTACTAGTCCAACTCTAACATAAAATAGAGAGATAACGAGTACAAAGCTTCCAGTTCTTTTAAAGAAAAATTAACAATGTCAATATTGCTTTCAGCACCACCTGGCTCAGAACAACTAACTTAGAACCAGTTCACCTGAGCTTCCAAACCTCAAGGAACTAGTGTAGACACCTAAACCACACAGTATGGGTCCCTGGCTTCAAAAAGCAGCCTGCTTTAATAACAAAGTACAGCTCATTTACTTCAGCAGAGTAACTGTTTCTGTTTGCAGGAAAGAAGACGTAAAAGTGAAACAGGATTTTTGTTTTCCAATTTGTTTTTTCATGTTATGAAATTTACTGTGTGTTTATCACATTCAAAAAGCATTGACCAGTGGGACTCTTTGGTAACTGTTAGAATGCCAAGGCAAAGCTGGTATATGTGGAAGTTTAATTAGCACCTAACAGAGATGATTAAATACTCCTCAAGTTTGAATGGCCATGGTTTTGACACTTTATACTTCCAATAGTTTTGTGGAAACGACAGAATAATTTCAAAAATGTAAAAAGAAACTGCTTTGGAAAGAGCAGACAGTACCATGAACACATGAAATTTAATCTTAAATTAAAAAGACTTTCAGGGTTTGATGATTAAATCCTTACCCCCATTTTCATTTCTGATTTAAATCTAATTTTACTCTAAGTTTCAATTTTTACTTCTGTCACAATTGCCTATGTGGGCAACTATGGGAAAAAAAAAAATACCCAACAGGACGAAAACTGCTTTGGGATGAACGCTGAGAGATTCTTCACAAGGCACTGCAAGGCTGAAACAGGAGTGGGTTGGAGAACAGACAGTAATTCACATGGTCAGGTAAGGACCAAAACTAGAAGAAAAAAAAAATGTCAAGTCAGTTGCATGAAAATGCCCCAACACTGAGCAAAAGACATGCAAGAAAAGCTGAAGGAGCAGCGGAGAGTGGGTCTGATTAGGTTTTGATAGCTGGAGAAAACTGAAAACATTTCCCCACTGTGCAAGTGACATTATCCACAGTCTTTTATCCAACTATATGGAAGAAAATCTAATTAAGGGAGAAATTTGATGAACTTTACAGAAAGCCCTCTACAGAGCTGATTTCAAAACAAAAGGGACAGATAATTGCTGAATCTCAAAATTAAGACTGCAGCATACCAATAGTACTTTACATCAAGCAGTTATCTCTAAGAATGTGTGAAAAAGGACAATTTACTTTTTAAAAGGGTGTCCTCCAAATACGGCATACATAAAGTACTCTAACATCCTGGATTTTTTTTCAAAGCTTTTTGAGAAACACACACAAATAATTCAGATTTAGTCAATTTTATTTACAGTTTGTTTTTTTTACATTTCAGAGCATTACACAATTACATATTCTCATTTTCTGACCTGCAAACAGATACCTTAAACGGAAATATTAAAAAATGAAGTTAGATACATCCAAAATGCAACAATTACACATCTGACAATTCACAAAGTGTAATTTAGTAGGACGTATCCTAAGAATTTAGGAACAACCAGTCAGGAGAAAATCTGACCAATTTCAGCAATCAATTATTTACACATTCAAAACAAAGCCTCTCTTAATATAAACCTCCAGGCAAATGGCCTGAAGGATTTCTTCAGGAAGAAAGACCAGAAGTTATGATTCACACCTATGCAGCATTAACAGCCCTTGATCCCAAACACTGAGCGACTTCTCAGCTTTGTCTTAGAGCTACAGGCATCCCTCTCAGCTTCTCAGACCCTGAAGTGTTATATTTGTGCCCCCATGTGCATAGAAAGGCTGAGTGTTTAAGTGGTCACTACGATAAACCCCCATTTCATCTGGTCTTTAAGTCACATGAATTCTTCCTTAAAAAAACTTCAGCAAGTCTTCTAACACCACTTAAGCCGGCCGAGGTGGATCCGGGCATGACCGGCCAGGCTAAATACATTAGAGACTATTCAAAACAAGCTTTAAAGACCATTCAGACAAGGCTTACATTTCTACACTTCCCTGATGGGCCACCTAAAAAACAACAACAAAAAAAAAAAAGTCACAGCTACTACTTTCATCCCTTGTGTTAACCCTTTGCCACACAGCAACTAGTTATAGAGTGGGTAGAAACTACTAAAAAATTCCCTGCAAATAAGCTGCCTTTCAGCTGAGGCTATGGCTCCTATGCATTCGGTGGCTGAGGAGGTGTTTTTTTTCTTTAAAAAAAATTCTCACTTGAAAAATACTGAAGTTCTCACTTTAGGCTAATTTTGATTGCATGTTCAATTTGTTTAACGGTCAAGAAATTGCTACAAACGGAACAACTTTAGTATAAAAAGAGCAGTCAACCGAGTGCAACTTCTGACTTGGCAAAGTCCTTCACGGTAGTTCTCTAACTAGGCTATGAATTTGGGGGAGCCTCCGGATTTCTTGCCTACCTTACTTTCCATGTTCACGTTTCAAACTGTGTCAGCAGGGCCCGAACTTCGGGAGTCAGCTGCTTAGCAGCCTTCGCTGCCTCTGTGACGGCCTTGCGGTAAAGACCCTTCCTCTTCTTATTAAAGCGCAACTGGAAGCTTTCTAAAAAGGGGGATAGTTGTGCAAGAGCAAGAAAAGATGTTGTTGTGGAGCCAAACCACGAGATACGAGCCTCCTGTCGAACTAAAAGGCCGTTATCTTTCCGGCTCACGGTTATGGTAAGAATACGGGCTGGCCACCAAGGGAAGCCATAAATCTTGGCCCAAACAATGTCCCCTACACATACGGTCCTGCCATCTGGTGTGACACATTTAGAGACATTTTTGGAAAAGACTTCCGTTTTCAAGGAATTACTGAGCTTTTTCTCTTCCTTTGAAGAGGAGGAGGAGGAGGAGGAAGGTGCATGCATGCTGCCTGGAGGAAAATCAAAGCTTTCAGTAGAGCTACACTCAGAGTTGGTAGATTTCAAATCATCTGTGCTATCGCTACTACAAACTGATGCACTGGAAGAGTCAGATTTCTTTTGATTAAGGGTCATGTAAACCGTTATATTGCTTTTGCTGCCTCTCTTGCCCAATGTCTGGTGTTCATCCTGATCAACAGTTACATGCACTTCACTCGTGTCCTGAACCTCACTGCTGGCCTCTTCAGGGCCTTCTGAGGGGCTCTGATTTTCTGAAGGGGCCTCACCTGCTGAGCGGGTGGAGGAGCAGCGAGACTGGGGCTTAGTTGCCATCTTGCCACTCCGTATTTTCTCAAGTCCTGTCTTGAGAGAAGAGTCATTTTCTTCATTCCGATACCTTTGTGGCTTTAAACGCAATCGGGGTGGGAGGGAACCTGAGCTGGTGTTCTGAAGACGCCGCGTGAAGTGGACCTTTGAATGTGCATTTTTGGAAGAGGAGGTTGCACTCTGCTTCTTTTGTGCCTTTTCTTTGGCCATTTTCAAGACTTCCCGAGCTTTTGCATGATCCATGTTTTTGCTCTGGAGAACTTTTTTTGTATTTAACTGCGCTTTTGAAGTATTTGCTTGTGCGGAAACTTTAACTACTCGGCTTCTGCTGTGGGCAATACTTGAAACCTTGACCACAGCATTCCTTTTCTGGCTTTCATTTTGGCTTTTTCCATCCACTTTATGGTCAGTCTTAAGTTTTTTATTCACAGTAGTCACACTCTCATTTCTTCGTTTTTTATTATCCTCGTATTTGGAAGAGTCACTTGCATTGCCACCTTTTTTTATTTCCTTTTTTTCTGCAACAACACTGTTTTTGCACTTGTCACATAAGACCTGCCGGGGTCGTAGTTTGATAGCATTCATGATAGAAGTGGGTTCCTCCCTGTACATTTTACGCTTGGGCCGCTTAATTTTCCGGGGTGGAGGCTGAGGTATTGACTGGTTATACGTGTCCCTGATAAACAAAGGAGGAGGATATGGCGCTCCCTCATGAAAGAGAGGAGGTGGTTTAGAAGTCCATAGGCTTTTAGCTATGCTGGGTTCTGATGGCTGTGTGAGAGAAGAGTCATCAGGGACTGCAGCATTAGATTCACACTTCACCTGTGCCTCGTCTTGGAATGGTTTACTTTGGAGCTGCATGGCTTCAGGTTTATCCTTGTATTCCCTTTTAGGAAATATGGTCACAGGGATTCCATGGGGTCCAAACCTTAAAAAGACAAAGGAAAAAGTTAAAAGGTTTTGAGGGATCTTTTTGCTGCATTTATTAGAAAGCACTGAAAACCTGTCTGCGTTATAGAGCCACCATTTGAAAGACATGAGTCCCTGCAAAGCTAAAGCTTCACATGGTAAGCTTTGAAAAATCAGGATGCCAAAGCCAAGTGTGCTGGCTTTGGCTGGGATAGAGTTAATTTTCTTCATAGTAGTTACTATGAGGCTGTGGTTTGGATTTGTGCTGAGAAGAATATCCACAACACTGGTGTTTTAGTTGTTTCCAAGTAATGTTAACCTTAAGCCAAGGAATTATTCAATACTGCCCCTGTTCTCCCAGCTTCTTCTCTACAAGAAGCTGGGAGGAGACACAGACAGGACAGCTGACCCAAACTGACCACAAAGGGACATTTCACACCATAAGGCATCATGCTCAATATATAAGCTGAGGGGAGCCAGCTGGGGGAGGGCAGGGGGGAAATCACAGGTCAGGGATGAGCTATCGATCACTGGATGGTGAACAATTGTTGCATTGTGCATCACTTGGTTTTGTAAATTCCTTTGTCAGTATTATAGCTTCCTCTCCCTTTGCTGTCCTATTAAAAACTGTTCTTATCTCAATCCATGAGTCTTTTTTTCAGATTCCCTCCCCCATCACACCTGGAAGGCAGGGAGCAAGTGAGATGCTGCGTGGTGCTTAGTTGCCGGCCGGGGCTAAACCACAACACCAAGTCAGAGAACATGAAATACACATATTCACTTATTATCAGTTTCTCTTGCATCAACACGATGCCCAAAAAAATACTACCTAGAGACAGCAGTAAATTAATTATCATTGTACTTTTAGAAAATGCTTATAAAAAAAACCCATACAACTACACACCCATCCCATCAACTCCAAATTTACCCCAACTAATTTCCATGCTAAGTCAACTTATGCAAAGAAGGCATCTTCAGTAACTTTTACAAAATTCTTCCATTAGCACAGCACAAAAAGCCCAATGTTTAAGAACTAACAGAACTAATAAATGCATTGAACAGAGTGTCATCATTCTTCATCCACAAAAGATGAACACTTGATCATCTGATGCATTAGTGCCCAGAATTTGCTAGCCCATTAGTTTGAGTTTCTTCCAGCAAAACCACCCTTATATCACCACAGTACACAGCATTCCTCTCTGGTTTGCAAGCAAACAGTTTAAACCTTTGCCTGCTTTTCCCCAGACAGTTTTAGATTGCTGCTGCCTCATTTGAGGCACACAGGACTTGTCACTACAGCGATCAGCTCTGAGAGAAGAGAAGGAAGAGATCCCTGCATGACTTGGGTATTAGCTTGGTATCAGAAGTAGCACCTTGCCTAACAGGTAGCCAGCACTGTCTGCAAAGGGTTGTTCTAAGGCAAACATTTTATGACTTCGCAAGGGATTATGCTTCCTTCTCCCGAGAGGAAATTAAACAAATGCATTATGTACAACAATGTATCCTTCAGCCCCCAGAACAGTGCGGGAGGGATTACGAAAGCCCATTTAACCTTTTCTTCTGTTCCACTCCACAACCTACCAGCTGAGGTAGGAGCCTTGCAGAGAGCTGTCACCGGGCTGTTCACTGCTCCTGAGCTCCGCCTGACCCCACCTCCCATACACACACTAGCGTTTGGCTTATATCAGTTGGAATTTTAACAGTTTGACGTTAATGTAGTTACAACGTGCTAGACAAGGTTGCAATTTAAATGCCAAATCATCTATTTTGAATCACTGAACAAACACCATTATGTTTATCCCATCCCACCTTGCAGGAGACTGAAGTGACTACCCAAAATTTGTCCTCAGGTTAACACTAGTTCATGTTACACTGCAGCTGCTCAACTGCAACATCCTCTTAACTGACATTTATTTACAACCTCTAGTTGCCCCTCCACTGAAGATAAATACTGAATACCGATCTATTTTCCATTCACACTCCTGCAAGAAACATGCAGTTTATGCAAGTGCCTACATGTTGGCTTTATTTTTTCAAAATTGGTTTAAAAAAAAAAAAATCACCACTTGTTCGCCCTTTTGCTTAAATGTAAAAGAGGTTTACCAGACAAGAGCTGCAATTGAAGCAAACAACCCACCCAAGATTAAACTATCCATCCAGTTTGCACTTCATTACAAAAGGAGAGCAAGCAGCAGACAACCTAAGCAAGGGGCAAGCAAGAGGCATCATCATAACAAAGAAGGAAGTTGAACAAGTGATAGTTTACAGCTGGGTATCAACATGGGCACCATTGTTGCCCCACACTAAGGTACTGTCACCTTCACGCCTTTGAATCCTGGAGACAGACAGGAGCTTGGGTGGGCAGCCAGAGCAGTTCTGACCTTATCCATGGGCTGAGGAGTGCTCTTTACCACAAAATATCCCACCATCCCACAAAAATTTGTTTCTGAGGTTTGGACTCACTCCAGTCGAATTCCACATGTCCCTCCAAAAGTGAACAGCATAACTAAATGTAGTCTACCACACTAGTGATGGCTACAGTGAATTATAAACATTTAGCAGCTGATACAGGCATTTCTCCAGCCTCCAGGCTGGCCATTAAACCACAAGGGACTCGCTCATAACTAAGTTTTCAGAGTTCCCTAAAGACCCAGAAGTCCACCAAATGTAAAGAAATTGCTTTTCCACAAACATTTTTCTTTCCACTAAGAATTACGAGTAAGTTATTCAGTTCCACACAGGGCATTAAAAGAAACTATCAGCTGATAATGATTAAATTAGCAGTATTTTCAGTGTCACTTGCATCAAGAACTTCAGCTTCAAAAGCAGCAAGATCCAGATCCCATCTTTCACCACCCAATAAAGGTTATAGGATTACAGGAAAAAAAAGTTAATTCACTACAAGGGTTGAGAAGGGTACAGGGCAAGATCCCTGCTGTGCAAATTTCAATCCCAGACAAACACCACAAAAGCACAGCTACACAGGAGTGTGACATCAAATGGGCAAAACCCATGCAGGAGAACATCACTTACAACTCTCTTCACTGTCTCAGGAACTGCATTTCCTAGCCCCACACAAGACATTTGCATAGTCCAATGCACAAGATTTTCTTTTAGAAAACACTTACGCTGACTCCCTGTTAGGAAATGATGCATTATTAGCAGTGACCAGGGAAGAAGCGGATGAAGAGGACTGCAAGGATCCCATTTAAGTACTGCATCTCTCTTTTCCTAAGTTTTTCCTTCTACTGCCTCACAAGCAAAGTCAGCACAATTAGCATCCAAATGCATAGAAAGGCTTAGTAGAAAGCTCAGCATATGACTGATATCACAAAAGCATTGAAGATTAATACTGCACCTTAGACTAGCCTTTCCTTCACCTGTCCGCAGAGTACATAGGCCCAATCGCTAAAGAACGGGACAGACAAAGTGGAATTTTTATTTAAGATAACAAACCTGCTTTAGTAAGACAAAACCAACCCAATCTCCAAAGCTGGAGCCTGTCTTTCAAAAGGTACTGTTTTAACAAATGAACGAGAATCTCCTGCCCCTGCCTACCTAAAACTTAATGAACTGTAGAATTAGAGAACTTTCATGGGTATCATCTAATGTCAGATATGTAAGAGCAAATAAAAACACTATTTATGTCTTGACACATCATTTACAGGAAGACATGCCTGGTGAAAACACAGTCCACCTGAAGTACAAGATAAATTTGCTAAGCCCAGAGACTCAATATTTCTTCCAACAGCTGACTCCATGGTGCCTGCTCTTTGGCCTCATCCAAGCAAGGTCTGTCCAGAAACATGGGGTTTATATGATCTTTGTTTCCTCCTTGGTGAATGAAGTTCTCCAGCTATGCAGCTTGGAAGAATTACATAAGAATTAAGAACAGTGGCGGAGAAACTTTGGAATGGAACAGTAAATGATACAGGAGGGAATGAAGATAAAGAACAAGGTTAAGAACCGAGTGAAGGCAGAACAGAGAATGGCCTGTTTTTCTAAGAAGAAGAAGAATGAAGATGCAATCTTAAATCCTATTCAAGACAAGGCAGGACACATCATCTAATTAGTTTTTATTGCATATGCTAGAATTTCAAGCCCTGTTTTCATCCATCTAGTAGGCGGACCTTTAAGACAAGTGCTTCTCATACAGTCACAATAATTTTTGTTACACCAACTACACATTTGAAATAGCTAGGAGTGCTATCTGTACACAGGTACAGGAAAGTTGCAAAAGCTAGCATTTGGTTCATCTACTACAGAGATGGACGTGGATTAAAAGGCTACCAATAAAACAAAAGGCTAAAAAATCCAAGCAACATAACTTGGTTGTATCATGACATTTACCAATCCACACATCACTCAGTGACTGGGCAGTAGAAGGTCACCTCCTAAAAAGAAACCTTTTCAGTTAACACTACATCAGTGAGACTACCTACATGCTTCATTTATCACATGTTGCATGCTCAAGCACTGTAAGGGATTGTCCTGTACTTATTTGAACAAACTACTTTTAATATACTGATCCCAAGTATCATCTGTTCCTACTATAGTATTACTTTCCTACAATAAGGTTATTCTTGAAATGACAGACTCAAATTACTGTTTGCTTAAAAAAATAAATCCATTTACGCCTAAGTTCCAGCTGTTCATTGTGCAGCCCACTCGTGCGTAACATAATGCAGTTCTACTTCCAGCTATCACTTGAAGGAGTAGAAGGATTCATTGACAGGGGATCTAGAATTGAAGTGTTAAGAAAACCGAAGTAAGAAATCAGTGTTTCAACCTAATTTAAGGCAGTTCTGGAGAGCAGTGCACTGCTGTTTCATACCTATTCAAAATTAGAACTAGTCATGTTGTCAGCTTCCTCTCCTGTAAAGGCGTCCTGGGTCTTTTTTGCTTTGAAAAGGCAACTCTAACAGAGAAGATGGTTAAGAGCCATCATAAGAAACTTATCTCCACGCAGCTTTACGAGTAACCAGAGCAATCTGTGGGATCTAACCATATTTCCGCTACACTACCACTTCAATACTCATATGCACTAAAGACAAATATCAACAGGAATATCAGAAACTGTATTTAAATAAGAGACTAATGGGGTAGAGGAGGTCACTTCTGGGATTCCAGTGATCTTTACACTGAGAAGAGCTTCCAATTGACTAGGGTATGCAGGGACAGAAATATGATTAAAAACAGGTCTGATTTCCACATTTTGTCAGCTACAAGTTACTGATTTGGTAGCCATGGCGTCTTTCGTAATGATGAAAAGCTAGTTTGGGTATCAAACCCAAGCCCATCACTTAAAGCCATATAGATTTGTGTAACAGATATGTAAACTTAAGTACTTGAAAAAGCTAAATTCTATAGTAGTATTACTATAAATACATATTACTATTCAATTTGTATGTAAAACTGCACAGTTAGAGGTTTTGGGTTTTTTTTTTAAATAAGCATGAGATAAGGAACAAAAAACATTTAAATTCATAACTGTGTGTAGATAAACATCAAAATAATCCCCAGTCAATACATTACTATGTAAAGTCTTAAGCTCTCATCTTTAGCCTCCAAACTTTTACTTCTCTATTAAAAGAAACAAAAATGAAAGAGCACCTTGTTCTGCCAAGAAGGACCAAAGGAGAGAACCCACTGAACCGGTTCAAAAGTATTTCACATTTGTCTGGGAACACACAGTATTAACATCAAAGCACAGTAACTTCCAGTGTTGTGATAAGTATTAAATCAAGTCTGTTTTAAATTACTATGATCAAAACTCATCTTTACCACTAAATCAGGCTACAGTAACCTCCGATTACCTTTTTGAGCATTGCTCAAAATACTCAATACATCCTTAGTGTTTTGCAAGACAACAATTACAGAAGCAATTTTCATTGCATGGACAAAAGTTCCAAGACTCTGAATGCTGGAATTACAATAATATGCTAAAATAATGTAGAGCTAAGTATATATTTCACACATCTATCTAAATTATATGGAACACATTGCTTTAAGCAGCATCTACCTCACTGAAAAAAAAAAAGCATACACAGAAGGTAAACCATCAGCTCAATGGTTTACTCACCTCCTGAGCAACGTAACACTAGGCTATACAGACTAGAAAACTCGTATTTCACTTAGAACTCTAAAAACATGGCAAAGAACTGCAGTGTGACACCGGAAATAACATGTCATCAGGAATAGACGTTGCCTCATGATCCACACACTCTCAGCACCAAGAAAGATATGGTTAAAAATACGATAGTTCAAATTAAGTAACATGTGACAATCCACATCTAAGCAAACCAGTAGGTAGCTTACATACTCAAAGACTTTTACTCATCCATGTTAAGCTTAGTGTTTTTCAGGCAGGTACACTGGCCTGAAATCCAAGCTCTTGTTTCTGGCTCCCCTTCAAAGCAGAGGAAAGACAAGAACAGGGTACGTGTAGAATTGGGTTTGAAAGAATATTAGGAGTACCCAAGGCAGCAGCTGATTTTAATCCTTCCTAACTACTGTCACCTACGTCTCCCACTGCAACCACTACCCTAGTGGAAACCAACTAATAGATACCAAACTATATGCAAATACAGCAAAGGCTATATTAGCTTACAGTACACCTCTCCATGAGGTCAGAAGCACTCTGAAAGAGTGAACTTCCAGGAAACTGAATCACAGAAGTCCATGTAGTCAGGATGCTGATGCAGACTTTGAAGAATTATCCACTGTAGAGACCGAAGAATCTCTCAGTTGATAAGCATGAAGAGTACGGAGGTGGTCCCCTACTCACTGATTTCCCCCCACTGAATGGGAAGGTGCCTCATCTTTTCAGTGGAAAGAATTTGCAAGTGAATTCGTAGAATTTCCTTCAGTATTCTGTAACTAGAGGAGTTCCATCAAGTATATAAAAGTAAACTTAAAACATTCTATCTTTGCAAATTTTAGGCGTCCTGCTAACTACCATTTTACTGGCACACTTCATAAAGCTGAATGTCTGTTTAAATGGAGAGTATCTTCTAAATTTTACATCTGTTGGCATTAGTTTCAAGTATCAGTTGCATTTTGAAGGAGATGCTTTGTTCATATATTTGGAATTGTTGCAATTGCAAAACATTATGTTTAAGATAAAATGCCTTGAATATACACTTCCAGATCATCCACATATCAGATTTGTCTTGGGTTTGACTAAGAGAATTATACTATTTATTAATGGATGAACTTTAAACCAATTCAGTGTCAAGATGGACAAGATTGATCAGTCCCATGACAGTGTAAAGAAAAAGAAAAATATTTAAAGCATACTGAAAATTTCACCTCCACCCTGACTCTCAACACCCCAAGCCAAGTCCAGCTGCTCCTAGAAAGCAATGGCAAAACGCAGAAAAGCATGCTGAAGGAAGGACAGTTTAACTACCTTCTGTTGCATCACAGTCCAACAAAGAACAGTGGTAGAGTACAGCTACTTTGGGAAAGTTTGAAGCACAATCCACAGATGCCCTGTTTACCAGCAAGATTAGGGCTTACTGGTTTGAGAAAGGGAAAAGTCGCACTCCTTGTACCGCTTGACAGATTGTCAAGTGTTTTCAGTATAAGCAGCAGCTTTAACATACCTGATACCTATACTAGCAAAGTCCTAAAAGGCAGTCCCGTTTTGTTAGCCATATTCACTTTCTACATCAAGACTTGGAAATGAGTAAGCTTTCCAAAAAGCATTTGATAAGTGACCTCAAATAACATTCAGTTTTGGATGTAGAGACACAAAAGAAACTATTTTCATGCATCGCAGAAGGAAGTTCTCTGTGATGCTGTACTATCACAGAGAAATTTAGGTTGAAAGCAAGTATCACAAGGTCTTCTGATCCATCCCTGTCCTCTGAGTGAGGCTACACTTGACACTACATATATACACCATTCAATAGAGCATCCGCCAGTCACACGCAAAGTATATGCAGTTTACTCTCAACTCCACACACACTCACATCACACCTATGCTGCCAGCGTTCTGGGGACAAAAGCAAGTATCAAAGAACTGTTAAGAAACAGCCATAAGTGCTAGAATTTCACCAAAATCGTTTACACACCTGAGAAACAACAAGAGAGAACAGTTGATGAATTGTAGGAACAGCCTGCAAACACACAACCCTGAGTAAGAGACATGTTTTACTGCTGGGAAGATTTGTGTTTTGATGTTCTATATGTTCTCAAGACAAGGACAACCAAATGTTGTCCCTAGTTATTAAATGAAATTATTAATAAAGGAGAACTTCAGAGCGGTGATAAACTTGCATTTCTTCAAATAAGCCTTCTGCTGTTTCCTTCTCATGTCAGCAGATCTTCAAGTTCTCAACTTGGCAGTACTTTTTCTCCCCCCTCTCCCACCTTTCTTGGCCTTTATGGTTACAACACACTAGATTCACCCTGCAGAGCTTAGACCAACAAAATGCAAGCACACACAGACTACAAGTTTCAATTGTTAATTATTTAAAAATTTAACCAACGTTAAATTCTGCAGATTAAGCCAGTACAAGCTAGAGAATGGATGCAACAATTCACTATTTATCCTTACTCTTACAGCAGCAAGTTCAATGAATCAACTGGAAAAAACACAGGATTCAAGAGTCACCAAGAAAGAATGCTGCAACTCAAAACAGCTACTAGGATTACAAGGATTTGAAACTGTCTATAGACATCTGTTATCGTATCGTTCACACACACCTTGCTGCAGGAAGTCTTTTCTTGACTTCTACAGCCAAATCCCAATTAAGGTATCATCTCAACCGCCTCTACTAGCAATAGACTGGGCATCTTCTGGATATCTAAGGCTTTTAGGTCACAAGACAACTTTTTGATTTCCCTTTCCCATTCAAGAACTATTATGACCACACAGAAGTCAAAGGGAAATACTTAGAGAAAAAGACAATAAGACATGCGTCCATCACATCTGAAGGATTAGAGGGAACATTTTAGTCACCTGATAAAGCAATAGAAAGTCCAAGTCCTGACTGTTAGAAAAAAAAAAGCAAACAAACAAAAAAACCAACAACAAAAAACCCCACCAAATTTAAGCTCCCTTCTCTCCTTAATCTTTGGGAAGGGGAAAAAAATAGCAGAAATAATTATGCTCTCTCTAGGAGAGCACCAGCACTTCTTAATCCTACATTGTAAGGTTTACACATGCTATGCTCCTCAGGTACTTCCTCGCTGTCTCCTTCCTCCAGGTGCAGAGCATGGTTTACACTAACCCCGAGCAAGCAGGTAGCACGAACATCCCAACCCACGCCAGCACAGAGGGTGCTGATCGAGTGCCGAACACAGGCAAGCTCACAGGCCCCAGTTAAGCCCCACACCTGACCAGCAGTTTTCAATGACTATTTGTACAACGGCAGGGAAAATTAACAACAGTTGTGTGTGAAGCATTCCACTATCCACTCCAACAAATTAAGACAGGATTGCCTTCTGCCTGATGGTTGGCTGTCATTTCCCGTCTCTCCTATCAACACCACTCCATCAGGTTATACACTGAGGAACCTCGTCCTAGCGTGCAAAAAGGCACTTAAAAGGTAACGACAGCAGTAGTAATCAACTTCAACAGTAGGACCACACGTTTGATTTGTTCAATAAGCCTTTAGAATAACATTAAGGAGGGATATGTCCCTCTTCAAGTGATGATTTTCTGCATAAGAAATTGATTTGGGACTCGGTGGATGCGAGTTCCTATTTTCTGCTGATTTTCAAGACTTCCTGTGCAGCTGCTGACAGGTACAGGAGACTGCCATCAGTACAGGCAGAGAACATACTTCCTTACCTCTCATTAACAAAAGAATAAAGTCCACTGGACACCGAGGTGCTTGTGTTCTCATGTTATAAACACCTAAATGCACATCCAACTTACAGGGGGTTGGAGAGGAGGAAGAAACCAGACCTTTAATGCAAACACCACCGGCTTCATATCAAAGTCCCCAAAAATAAAATACAATGTCAACGCATCATTTCAACAGTGGAAACAGAATTAGAAAAAAAAAAACCTAATAGGAAAAAAAAAAATCCCACACAACTTTAAAACCAGAAGTATATAGGGAGAGTTTTGCTTTTCTTTCACCTTGAATTTCACTAATTCAGAACATGACTTGAGAAGGCTAAAGAGACCAGTGGACAGGTTTCTAGAACAGTCATTAGAACTTACTCTCCTTAGTACCGGACGGAAGCAGCACCTTCATCTTCCTGAAGGGGAAAGATGAAATTAAGATCCAAAAAAGGACTAGGAATGAGTTTCTTCCAAATATACAGTGAAAACAGTATTAGGACATGCCTGCAGTGAACATCAGCTGCTTTTTGAAACTACTGAATGAGTAAATTCCAATACAGAATTTCACTTTTATTTAATAAGAACTGGCAGTCTTACAATACTGATCCCCTCTGCATTAAGGACGTTTCTAAGGTTATTACCATGCACTTGGATGAGCTCGTGGAGACAGCTTTCAGTACCTACCCATCTTCTATACCAGAAATCCCAGGGTTTTCATGTAAATGCATGCTGGAATTCAGATAGTTTTGATTTAACCCTACTCTTCCTTTTTTTTTTGGTCCAATGGAAAAACTGCTAAGAATTCCAGGGCCTGCCACAGATACAGAAGGAAGTTAATGAAAAGTGTTAATAATCTACAAGTCCACGTGCAGCTACACAAAAATCAAAACACAAAGAAAAGCTGATACCTGAACAGTGCTATCATTCAGTCACCACCAAAGTCAAGGTCTAGAATAAAATATAAATGTTGGGCATTCATGTAACACCTGTTTTCTGATAATGCTTCAACCTCTTACAGGTAGCAAGTTCTTGGGGGACTCTACTAGAGTTCACTTACCACTGCATTTCCTGCTTTGAGACTTCTGAACAAATATTTCTAGATGAACAGGAGTTTTTACTTGTCACCAGCCAAGTATTATAGACCCTATGTCTAGAAACCCAATTCTTCTAGTCCAGGCACTCTGAAGAGCTTGGCTTTTAGAATTTAAATAACACCTTCTGGATCCCCGTGTAACAAGCACCTCTGAAGGAAGTCCAAGATCATATGAATGGAGAGGAAAAGAGTAAGTGGTTCCACTGCATAAGAGAATCTGGGAACAACAGCACAAGCCTTCACTTATCCCTTTTCCACAGTTCTCATTGTGAGGACTTGCCCCAGGGCCTGTGCTTAAAAACAGGGGCAATAAGAGATGCATGCTTCCACCGAAGCCACAATGCAAGAGGCAGACAGTCTGCCTACTCAGATGACCTTTACTGCAAAGGGCTGCAGTACATCTGCTGCATGAGAGAAGGACCTTCAGTGCATAAGAAAACCTCAAGGCAAATGAGGGGATGTTTGTGGTCAACCTGTGTTTAGCAAGATGTGATCTCTTTCAGGAGTAAGGCAGAAGGTGATACTTCTTCACACACAGACCACTAGAAGTACAGAAGCAGGTGCTTTGTCACCCTGCTAACCAGGGCAACGATGCAATTTCGCTGGTATAATTTCACACCTACAAAAGAATCCATGTTAACTAGCATTACAACTCGTTATAATGCCTTCTGGCCTGCAAGGAAGTGCAGTTTGCAGATCACATTTTAGTACCTGACTTCAAGAGAAAAACTGATAATTTAGCATTTCAAACCACAACAACTGACATTTAAAACTTACTTCCTTAACAC